CTCTTTATTCCTAGGTTTCTCTTCATTTAGATCATCAACTATAATTACAAAAAATGATGCAGGTTGATAAAAAAAAAAGCACAGATTAGCCAATGTTGCAAACAATATACCAAATGTCTCATGAATGAATAAATAAATAAACGAAATGGAATGAACGAAAAATAATTTTTTTTTTACGTTACCTTTCCCTTCTCCAAATTCAACTAGTTTCTTTTGTAAGTACTCCACCTGATCTCCCCACCTCTTCTTCTCCGCCTCCAATGACTTCTTTTCTTCTTCAAACTCCTTTACGCTCTTTTCCCACCTTTCTTTTTGTTCTTTGTCCTCCCATTCTTTGTTATCCAACTTTCTCCTCAACTTCTTCAACCACTTCCCGTCATCCTCACCTTCCTTGAACTTCTTCAACTCTGCTCCCGCCTCATATAATCTTGCTTCTGCTTTCTCTTTATCTTTTCTAATCTCTTCGATTGTTGTCATTTTTGTTTAAAAAAAAGTTTTAAAAATGAATTTTTTAAAAAAAAAAATTTTTTTTTATTGATTTAGATCATGGTTTAGTCGATAATCACGCCTTCCTAATATAGTAATAATCGGTGTAAACTTGGGTTTTTCCATCAAAGATTTGATATTTAAGCGTTTTTAATTATTGCTCGAATTCAACTCGTCAAATAATTCAATGCAACAATTTATTAAAGAAATTTTTCAAGCACTTGGATGTTTTGATTTTGCAGCAGCAAATAAATTTTTAAATAGAAGTCCAAAAGTAAATCTATTATTTATTCAAATTCTTTTTATTCGATTTATTATCAAATTTTTTTTTTTTAACATTCGGTTTTATCTAACCATAGTCAAACTTTAATGTAGTTCCTATATTTACAATCCTTATAAAGTGCGAACAGTCTTATACTTCGTTAGAGTATTTAAAGACCAAGCTCTTTAGAAAAGAAGACGTAAGTTTATACCCATGTTTCAATATTGAATTATATATTTATTACTTTTCGGACAGTATAATGAGTATATACGCGAGTTAACATTACTTTTGATAAAAATGTTTATATGTTCTTTCCCATCAAAGTATTTAAATACATTATACACAGAAGCTATAAATTTAGTAAAAAATCTAAGTAAGTTACCACCTCCCACAAGTGTTAATAATGGAGATCAGTTAGATGTAGAATTACTTGTTGATCTTTGCAATACTTTACAGGACTTTATACAAACCCGACAATCCCAAATTAAAATGTAAGTTGATTTTTACAGATTCGTTTTAAGTGGCTAGGAATATTCATTTATCCCTTTTTTTTTTATTTATTTATAGATATAGATCCATTATAACACATTTCTCGAATATCAATGCCGAGGAAATTGTTAGAGAAATTGAACGTGTTAGAAACAAAACTGAAGAACATAGATTAAGTGAAAAATTAGGACCATTAGGTGTAGGAGTAGAGTAAGTGAGTTGCGTCGACATTTTTATTTAATTTTGAGAATCAAAAAGAATCAAGAATTACAGATTATTGATTTTTGGCGCGTTCATTATAATTCAGAAATGAATTGACGATTTTGAAATATCTTTTTGTGGCACGTAAGGCGATAGTGACATTTAATTTTAAAAATTCAACGGTTTTTCTTTACACAGCAAGATCAAAACTTTCTTCTTGGAAAGAGGTCTGTTCACAACAAGTATACCCTGAGGTAAATAGATAACTTTTTTTAGGGAAGGGTAATTAATTATTCTTTTTCCATTAATTTAAAGAATATTTTAATTGTAGAAATCAAGCAATCGAAATGAAGAATCTACGAGCGCATTCTCTGCTTTTCAAAGTTTTTTTTCTTCGAATTCTGATGTAAAGTAGCTTTATTGAAATTTTTTTTTTTTTAACACGAATTTTACGTTAATTCACATATTAAAAATACAGAAACAGTTAAAAAATGTTAAACGTGGCAATATTTCACCAAACAATATGCAATGGCTTGGAAAGTTTTTATCTAATCTTACAGCAAGGATGACATTGTATTTTATGAATGTACTTTTAGAAAAAGAGACAGTTTTAGGAGGAGATCTCAAATCATTATGGAAAAAAATTGAAGTGGATCATCATGATGCGTTTGTGTTTTTTTTTCCTGTCTAATTTCGACGGGTTATGAATTTTTCTTTTATAATCATTATAATGAAGTTCGTTAACTTGAATTCTAATTGATAAACTTTTAGCATACGAAATTTTCGGAGAAAGTTCGGAACTTCATCTAGCATTGCGTTGATTTATGAAGTGAGCAATGACGTACCATTTTATCCACTAGGATATGTTTGCGATGGGGTACAATATGAAAAACCAACAGGGTTAAAGTCATTTCCATGTATTTATTGTTATCCAAAGGTAGGTCACATTGGTGGTAACATCAAGACATTAATCAGAGTGTCGATATTTAGTTACGCTATGATAGAAAATAATCTTAATTCCTCCACAATTCTTAATTAATGCCTTTAAATTTAATTAATTAATTTAGGATCAACCGCCGGAGAATCACATGCCTAACATTATATCAATAATGCAAGATAAGGATCCGAAGAAAATCACACCATTCGTTCGAACTGCGCCAATTCACTTTTTCGATAAAAAAGTAGGCAGCGCTTATTACTTTGTTCGTATTGACGATTTTGTTAGTTTAGTTGTTATATTTTCGGAGAAACATTCTGTTGCTGATAGCAGCACGTCGGAAGCTATTATGACATTAGCTAACAGTTTGAGTGGCGTTGATATTTTAACTAGTTTACGAGATTGAGAAAAAATTATTATCTTGATGTCAATATAATATAAGATTCGGGATATTTACGTATTCTTTTTTTTGAATTTTTTTGGTATTTATAATAATTATTTAACCAACCAAATAATAAAATTTGGATTATCTTTTAATGCTTCGAATCGCTTTTCTCACGATCTTGTATGTAGAAATATGTACTTATTATCTACTATCACACTATACTTCCTTATCTGCGATCACATGATCACATGGGAAATGAGTTATAATATGATAATAATATGTGCATTGTGCAGTACATGGCAGGATAATGATTGAGATGCAAGATCATCAAGAATTCAAACGGAAGTTTCTTAAAATTATGTATGATAATGTATATTATTAATCATATAACTAAATAAGATTTCTTTTTAACGTTTGAAAAACTGTTTGAAATGTACGATTCTGTGAGAATATGTGATTTCGTGTGAGTTTTTATTGCAAAACGAATTTAGGTCTTTAGAAAGACTAAATAATTTTAGAACTCATTAATACTATAATTAACTATAACGGTATGAATTATAATAGGTTTGAAGAAACCATCCTGTTAGATCTACAAAAAAAAAGTTTGATTTGGTAAAATTCCGCTTCATGATTAAAAATAATAAAAAAAAAACTAGCTTTTAATTTCGGTCTAAAAGAAAAAAGTAAATGTAATAAATAAATAACTTTGCTTATAGCGCATATGAAAGGAACCATCTCTCCATGTGTAAATTTCTAATGGTATTTATCTAACAAAATGGACAGTTCTGCACATAATCCACTCCATGTGTAAATCATGAGGAAAAGATGCAAAAAATATTTCAAAAACATTGAAAGATATTTCGTCCAATATCAATATTGCATGATGTTCTCGAATTCAAGTAATGTTAGATTTGTCAAATAGAAACTTTATGTTTTCAACAATTTTAAAACGCCTACTCTTATAAGTAGTATAGATGGACCATCATTTTTAAATTAAAACGAGAGTAATTTATTGATTTCATAGTGTCACATAATGTTTTTTTATGAAAACCGTTTTTATTTTGATCTTAGGGTTGGTTATGAAGGCAGATTTCCTCACAAGAATTAAAATTATATTAATTAAATTAAATTATTTATTTATAAATGCAATATACTTACAAATATAATTTTATGAAATGATGGAGCTTAAAAAAATCTAACAGCAACTTGTAATTTTTAATATTAATAAAATAAATTAATTTATAATATATTTCTTTGCATTATAAAAATTTGTAATTATAAATATTTATTAACTTAAATAAAACCGTAAATTAATAAAGATCATAATTAATTTTTTTACAATAATTTCTGTTTTTCTAATTAATAATTAAAATCAAATAAATGTATTTATAAGAATTATTTATCAAAATAAATTGAATAATAGTATAGAAATAAATCTAATTATTAAAATAAGTTTAATATAACTAAATACAAAAAAAAATACTTAAATCAACATTTATAATATGATTTATTTATACTAATTTAATTATTAGTTAATAAAATATTTTAAATTATAAATATTTAATAATTATAATTATTTTAATAATTATAATATACATTTATATTAATAAATATGATTTTTTATTTAACTTTTTAATATTTATGAATATATTTATATAAATATGAAAAAATTACTTATAAAATCTAGTAAAATATAAAAGTAAAAAATATATAAATAACTAAATTTATTAATAATAATATAATATTATAATATAAAAAAGAAAAATATTATAATTAAATAATTTAAACTATTATAAAAATTAAATTTTAAAATTAAATTTTTATAATTAATAATTTTATATAATATTTATCATATAATAAAATTTTTTTGACTTAATATTTTATTAAATAGATAAAATTATTAAAAATATGATTATAAAATTTAAAAAATATATAATTTAAGAATTAATAAATTTTTTTATTTAAATTAAAATAAAATAAAAATATTATTTATTTAAAAAATTTATATTTTACTTTAAAAATTATTAAAAATATTATTATTTTACTTTAAAAATTATTAAAATAATTATTATTTAATATTAAATAATATATCTTTTTAAATAAATAAATTAAAAATAAAATTTTATTTTATTTTAATAAAATAATTTAAAATCAAATTATAATAAAATTTTAAATCAGATAATTTTTATTTATTTTATTTTGAAATTACCTAGTAAATATAGTAAAATATAATATAAAATAATAAATAACTATTTAATTTGTATAATTAATTTTAATTTTAAGTTATAATATCTATATATATTAAATAATTATAAATTTTTTATAAAATAAAATTAAGCAAAAAATTTATATTATTAACATTTATAATTAAATTTTTATAAGAAAATTTATTTAATAAAATAATATTATATTCTTAATGAAAATTCTTATAATTTAGATGAATTATATATTATATATGAGAAGTTTGCTAGGAAAATCAGGCTTTTGGAATTTTTTTTGACTAAAATTAAGTTTTTACTACATTTTAATCTAATAATATCAAAAATTAAAATGCAATAAAAATCAAATTTTGTATAAAAAATCCTATAGCATAACAATCTTTTCATATATATTAGTAAATTTATATTATTTTTAAAGTATTTATATTTTTATATTACACTACCCTATAATAAATTACCGGATTTTATAAATTTTACTCATAAATGTTTACTAATTTTCAATAAAAATCATCTGATTTTTTTTTTATTTAATAGCTGATTAATTATAAATTTTAGATATTAAAATGAAAAAAAAAAAAATTTTTAAAACATAAAATACTTTTTTCATTTTAAAGTATAAACAACTATTTTTTTATATGTTTTTTTGCATTTTTATATATAAAATTATTTTATTTATTACTTTACAATGAGTATTTTTCGGCATTTTATAAATAAAATATTTTTGAATTATATTTTTAAAATTATAATTGATTGGCTATTAAATAAAAAATTTAACATGTATTTTTATTAAAAATTCATAAACTTTTATATAATCTAAAAATCTTCAATTTTACTATATATTACTAAGTAAAATTTATAAAATCCGATAATTTATTGTAGAGCAATGTATTAAAACTAAATATTTTAATATAATTAATTAATATTTACTATAAATACCAATTGTAATTAGTTTGAAGTCATAATAAACTTTTATAAAACTTTAATATTGAATTTTTTATTTTATTTTAAAGAATTGCTTTTATGGTTTTAAAGTTATTTAATTGGTTAAATAATTTATTAAATAATATATAAATTATCTAACTTATACTATTTCCTATTTAGATATCCATTGAGATGTATGTATCATTGTTACAAATGAACCCCTGAAATTTTTTTTTTTATGGTTATTGTTATTAACAAATTAAGGTTTTTTATATTGTAGAAAATCTTTTAATAAACAAGTTTAATTAATCACGTCATGAGGGTTTGACAAGTTGATTTGACATATTCTTTACCGTTTAATGTTAAGCAGTAAAGGTTGTGTGACAACCAAATAACGTTAAATATTGGTTCTTGATTATAATTGCGATTGTACAGTAAAATTTAAGAACCCGCTTAATTCCGTAAAAAAAATTTTCTTTCCTTTTGGAATTCTGATTTGGATATTAAAAATCTGGGTAGTACTTGAAGTATAAGTTTATCATTTTTATCAATAACAAAAGAATCTGTAAGATGACCATTTATTTGTTTTTTTTTTTTTTTTTTTTTTTTTTTTTTTTTTTTTTTAGTGGGGTTCGACTCCAGTTTAATTATTAATTAGTAAGAATGGAATTTTTCTTTTTTATTGTCTTAATTTCTTTTTTCAAAGAAATGTGATTCAACCCCGTTTTTTTGTTTATAAAATACATTTACTTGATTTTTTTTGATTATTTTCTTTATGACTGTAAATACGTATCGGCCAATCAGGAATCGCATAAAAGAATGGTTTTTAACGTAGTTTCCCAGGTATATATATATCACACACGCATACACACATACGCATACGAAGATATCTATATATACTTGAAGCATACTCGAAAATTTGAAACTCAATGGTATGGGACAATAAAATAATAAAAAAAGGCCTCTTTTTTTTTTATTAGTCCAAAAATATAATGAGATCAGTTTGGGACCAGATGTTATCTTTTGCAACTCGGTATTACGCGAACATTTAAATTTGTATTGATTTGATTATCATCTATTTAACGTGTAACCTACCAATTTTATATTTTTATTTATTTATATATATCTTCAATAGTCTTGTGAAAGGTATTTCCTATTTTTTTTTTTTTTTTTTTTTTTTTTGTTATAAAAGAATATACACTCTTCCATTTGCATGAAAAGGTTATGCATTCTCGAGTGTTATGGTTAACCTATTTTCTATTTAAATTATAGTTTCTGCTCCTCGAATGAGTTTCAAATTTTTTTATTTTTAATTTATTTTGTGATAATAATAATAAAAACTGCTATACTTAAATTATCATATTTTTTCCGAAAAAAAAAAAAATTTTTTTTTTTAATATATATAAATACACATTAAATATTTTTGAAAGTAAAACTAAAAAAAAAAAAATTTCTTTTTTCTTTTAAAAATACAAAAAAAAAAAAAAACCGATTTTATTTTTTTAACTTGGTTTTTTTTTTTTTCCTGACGCAGTTATTGATTTGATTTGATTAGGGTACGCCATATATATATAATATATAATATATATATCAATGCCACATTTCAACCTTTTTAAAAAAAGGAATAAGAAGAACATATTATCCCTAAACAGTAACTGTAATAATAATATAAAATCATCGACTTCTCTTGGTTTAACCGCTGATGATTTACCTAATAACAATTTCATTGCGGTCGTCGATGTTGGTGTACAAAGCGTTAGAAAAAATGGCAAAAGGAAAAAGAATTGGAAGAATGCATTAATAAGGTTACATCATATCTGGCCATCCACGACAAATTGTTACTCGAGAAAAAAAAGGTCATCAAGGAATAAAAAGATTTTACGAACTACTGATAAAGAGAATATTACAAACACGTTTGATGTAATCGAAAATAATGTTTGTAGTCATCATAATGATGATAATGATGATGATGACGGAATGATAATGGACCATATCGATAAAGAAAATATTTTGAAAGACGACGATATTATTCACGGTGATGATGATGAGATCATGGTCAGTCTAGAAGATCGCGCTACAAAAAGTTCGATTACGTCCTCATCGACAACAGAATACGATCAGAAAAATGATTCAGAGAACGTTGTGGCAAAAGTTCATATAACTTCAAGATTTATTTCAACAAAGGCGGATGTTCCATTAAAGGAAGATTTTCGTGACGAAGAAATTGATTTTGTGGAAAATGATAAAACGAAAACTACATTAATTGAAAGATGTGCTACCATTCCAAGGAGATCTTCTGAAACCGAGGTATTAGCCAGGAAAGGAAGATTCACAATCATAAGAGAGGGGGATAACAACAACAATGTTTCTTCACGAACGGGGGAGGGTTATAAATCACTTTCTTCGTCATATTCATCATGTTGTACGATATCGCAATCACGATCTAGTAGTAGCTCGAGTCTTCCGGTGTCTTTATCCGAATTACCCGATTCACCTTCCTTTAAGGGATCAATAAGAATAAAAAGTCATGAACAACTCTCACCAATCTCACCTTATTACTTGAATTCTCCTATATGTTCTTCTCCTTTATCGTCAAATTATTATTACTACAATAGTCTAAGTCCACGTAGAGCGTCCGATTCATTCGCTCATCATCAAAGTAATTTGGTATATTTCAATAACAAATCATTACCGTCATCACAATCGTATCCTTGTTATAATAAACCGACCTTATACATCACCCCATTACCCAAACCACATTCATCTCCAATCCCAATCCCAACTCCAATTCTTGTCTCTTCATCACTTAAACAATCCCCTTTCACGTCCACATTTAATCGGCCAAATAGCGTAAATTCGCGCGACTCACTTTCACTTCCTGATACTCCTTATTCATCAACTTCAACGACAACCACCACTTCAATTGTTAGCACTCCATCAGGCAGAAAATTTGAATTAGAAGGCTCTTATTTTTCAAATAATTCAACATTTTCACCTGGTTCTAATAATAATTTTGGTCCAAAAAGAAGAAGGAAATTTATTGTTGAAACTTTTGAATGATTTAAGGTTTACTTTATATTTATATATTATTTAAGAGTTCTTTATATCATAAGATTTCATAACTCGCTAAAAAAAATATTAAGATCTATGACATATTTTACAACTCGCCAAAAATAAACACCCTTGTAAATATTCTTCCCTAGTTTCCCTTTATAATAACTTACTTTGTAATTATGTAATTATGTAACAAAATTTGTGAATATATAATTTACTACCTTTTTTTTTCTTGTACATACACTTTTAACACTTTAAAAAAAAAAATCCCCTTTAATAGTAATAAATATTTATTTATATCCTAGTATTTTATTAAACGATGGTTAAGCTAAATTTAAAAAAAAAATTATTAATAAAAAATAATTTTCATGAAACAAATCCTCAAATTTGAATCGGAGATTTATTTTATACATGTACATATATGATCATGCATTTTATCTAGTCTTAAAAAGGTTGAACTGCAAATTAATCTTGCCGCAGTCCAGATTTATGTCGTTGTTAAATTAAAAAATATCTTGAAACATAACCCTGGAGAATTAGAGATAAGTACTTTGAATTGTGGTAATTTTGCAATTTCAAATTCTCATTTGTTTTATCTTTTTTTTTTTACGCGTGTATTAAGACTACCGACCACCAATACAAATGTGATTCCATTATAAAACTGGCAGTAACGCAAATTTAACTGATACATTTTTACTTCATTCCAAAAAAAGGATAACAAATTCGAAATGCTTATATTAGAAAAATACACGAGAAAAATTATTCTTTGAATTTGACAAGCAAAATGAAAGATTGCATCATTTATAATCATACTTTGCCATATACATATACACGTATATTTTATCAATTTACTAAATTTGAAAATCCTTGCCAAAATTAATTATCAAATCAGCAATAAATTATCTTCAAAATTTTGCTCTTTTTCTTCTTTAATGCAGAATTTGATCAAATCAATTTATTAACTTTATGAAAAATGAACTTTTATAAGCAAGCAGCGGATATATTAACAAAATTATCAGCCAGAGAAGGCTCAATTAAGTCACTTACCCTAGCAAATACGGTTAAAGAAAAGAAAAAAATGTATGCCTTAATATGTGAAACATTAAAATGTGCGTATAGTCCTTTCAAATGATGATTAAAAGATTTATATTTATTAAAAACTGTTGTCTTTTTATTTAAGATAAAGATGTTATTAATAAGATCATTGATAATTCTCAACTACTTAAAGTTGAAAAAAAGGTGTTCATCTTTTTATCAATTAATTAATTTAACATTTAACTACTTCATTCATTCATTCATTTATTTTTTAATATTAGTTACCGAAAAATATTGCTATTTTGTTAGTACATGATCTATTATTTTCTTCAGAAGGGTTAAAGAATTTATCTGATGGTCCTTACAAAATCGCAATCATGAGAAATGAAATTATATTGAGAGCCGAACTCGTTAAATTAAAAATCAAATCAAAGGTGAAAAATAATGAAGATTTGATATCATCTGATTATCGTAATGCAGGTAACATAGACTTGGAAATTCATGAACCTTTTGTATGTGAGATATGCTAAAATTAATTCTATTACAGTCGTCCTTCCGCGTTATGTTCGTGTTAATACTCTTAAAACTACCGTTAAAAAGGTTATTGAACATTTTCAATTGGAAGGATATGTGCTTGAAGAATCGATTAAAGTGTTGTCGGACATAAGGTAAAGAATGTAATATGTATTCACAATTATTGTTTAATTTAATTCTTAAAGTGTGTATATATATCATGACGATTCATTTAGCACAAGGACCATACGTAAAGATTTTCATTTACCCGATTTATTAATATTACCACCAAAGACTGACCTTCATGATCATCCACTTTATCTATCTGGTGAAATAATCCTTCAAGTACGCGGGTTTTTTTTTTTTTTTTCAGTTCGAAAAGTAGGTTCCGTATTAATGTTTCTTTTCTTAATCAGGATAAAGCTTCATGTTTTCCTGCTTATATTTGTTCTCCACAAATTGATTCACATGTAATAGATGCATGTGCTGCACCGGGAAATAAAACTTCTCATCTTTCGGCTATAATGAAAAATACTGGGAAAATTTGGGCCTTTGATCTTGATAAGAAAAGGTTAAAGTTATTGGAGAAATTAACTCAAAAGGCCGGATGTAAAAGTATCATTCTCGTTTCCTTTTTTTTTTATTTTTATTTTAGAAGGGGAAAATTTTTTTTTTTTTTCGTGATATATATCTTCTAAAATTTACGATTATGGATAAATTTAGATATTGAAGCGGTACATGGATCCTTTTTGGATGTGGATCCTTTGGATGAAAGGTATTCTAAAGTTGAATATATTTTACTTGATCCATCTTGTTCCGGATCTGGCATAGTAAACCGACTGGATAAATTAGTTGATGCTTTTGGTGAATATTAAATTATATTTCGTTGAAATATGAATTCATTAAATTACATGACATCTTTGACCTTTTATTATTTCAAAAAAGAGCAAGAAACGGATCAATCCGACACCAGTCAAAATTCACAAGATCTACGATTGAAAAATTTAAGTGAATTCCAAGAAAAGATCATTTTACACGCATTCAAATGTAAGCAATGAACAATGATTTGGGTGGTCGGGGTTTAAAATATTATTGATTCCGACGTATCATAAAATACAAATAGTTCCTTCAGCGAAGAGGATAGTTTATTCAACATGTTCAATACATCCTCAAGAAAATGAGCAAGTTATTCAACGGGTATTAAAGCAAACTGAAACTTTTTTATTGGCTAATCGAAATGATGTTGTACCAACTTGGGATAGACGTGGTATTTCAAGTGAATTCAATGATGAAGGTTTGTAAACTTCTACATCTTTCGCCAAATATGATTTCAAATATTTTATTAAGTTGCTTTCTTCTATTTTTTTTTAAAAAAAAATAAAAAACCGAATATAAATCAATAGAAACTGCCGTTAAACTTATTCGAACATTACCAGAAGATTTTATGAATGGATTTTTTGTGGCATGTTTTATTCGTGTTTCGGAAAACGAAGTAAATGATAATACTTCTAACCTGGTTACCAGTACCAATATTACGAATGATTTAACTAACAGTAAAAAGCGAAAAAGAAAACGAACAAAATCTAAAACGATTAGAGAAAATGTAGTAGAACTAAATAAGAAAATTAAGTAAAAAAAAAAAAAGGATAAAAAAGGATATTTGTTTATATTACTATCTTTATTCAAGTGATACAGCACAAATCGTGTAATTTCCTATTTTGTCGGATTTATAAAAGACGCGTAAAAAGAAATTTGTTCTTCAACTAATATTTTTTTCTCGACAAAATATACTGATCATGCAATACTCAACTTCTACTACACCAACTGATTCACCAACTCGACTACATTATCATAAGAGTAGTTCCATACCTTCTTCTCCTCTCAATCCCCGAGTCGAAACGACTGATCCATCTTCGGAAGTTTCACCTCCTCCTCGTCATTCGACTCCTCATCGCTCCGTACGACATATTGATATTGACATAAAGGAATTAATGAAACTTGAGTCCGAGTTAAAATGTTCGGTTTGCAAAAACTTTTATGACCTCCCAATGTCATCAAAGTGTCAACATACATTTTGTGCCGGATGTGCAAAATTTGATAGCGATAATCATTTGACTGGATTATGTTGCCCTATTTGTGAGCACTCCTTCACCTCCTTTACACAGTTTTATAAAAATATTATGATTGAAGATCTTATCAAAGAATATAAAAATAATAGGTAGAATTTTTTTTTTTTCTCGTAAAGTGTTGAAGTGTAAAAATTCATAATATCACATTTATGATATACTGAACAAACTCCGTGTTTTATCTAATTTAGTGAATTAATAGCGCGTTTATACACTCTCGGTAAACAAGTCGAAGAAAGAGAACGTCGTGAGGAAGAGAGAAAGTCAAGACTGATAGAAAATAAAGTGGCAAAATATATGAAAGAAAAACCCTTCAAATCAATTTCTAACTTTAATTCCGATTTAATAAATGATTCATCCTTGATTGAAGAAAAGCCTAAATCTAAATTTGCATCGGAAAAATCGATCAAAATACATGATATATATGATAGTGATAGCAATGATAGCAATAAGCAGAGTACCAAGAAGAGACGTATATTTGATGATATTGAATCATTTTCCCCTAATAAAAAGGTTCACTCTCCAAATAAACTACATGGCAAAAAGCCTAAGGTTGTATATAGCTTAATGAATGACAGGAAATTGAAGAACCTTCTAAAGGTAATCATTATTTATACAAAATTTTTCATCGTAAGTATCACAATTTAAATAACTTTTTAAATTTATATATAACAGGAAGAGGGTTTGGTAGCAGATGGAACTAAATGTGAAATGATAGCTCGTCACTCTTACTATACAAATCTTTATAATTCAAATATTGATGCGACGAATCCAAAGAGCAAAGGAGAATTATTAAGGGATATGAAGAAATGGGAAAGAGCTCAACATAGTAATGAAGCAAAGGATGCCTACATGCTTAAGAAATCTTTAACTAATCAGGAAGGAATCGATTCTTATGATATCCTTTTTTTTTTATATGATTCGTTTTATAGTTAAAATTTTTAATTCAACTTTATATATAAATTTTATGCCTTAATTTAATTTTAATTTATTCTTTTACCTGATAAATATCGTGATGAATTTGCGAATTTGATCCAACAGGCTAAAATCAATAAGAAGCGAAAAGAAATATCATGATTAGGATGAAAGATGCGAAGATAAAAGAAAATAACGATGATATGATATTGCAAAAGAAATGAATTAAAAAATTTATGATATAAAACAGATCATTCAATTGAACATCTCGTTCTTTATAACATCTAGGAATTTTATTTAAAAACATAATTTCAAATTAATTTCAAACCATTTAAAAGGATAGCTAAGGCGATGCTAAGGCGATGAGATATCCCAACTGGCACGTTGCGTGCATATCTAAAAGATTTATAGCAAATTGAGTGCAAATAATTTTAATATTAAATATTGAGAAATGAAATACAGAGATAATTATTGAAATTCTTGAGAATTCAGGTTTTTATACATTAGTGAAGTAATTAAATCTCATCCGTCGAATTTTGTAAGCGATATTTACTCGGAGTTCCATCGCCAAAGTCTAAAGCATGACAATATAGAAATTTGGAGAAATTATCAGAAAATTTGTGATTCAAAGGAAGGTTACATATTTTATTTATTGCTAAAAATAAAAAAAAAATAAAAAATAAAAAACATAGGCAAATTTTTATGTTTGACAATTTCAAAGTTTTATTTGGTGGTTCAATCCAATTAAGTAATGAACTACTTATTCTTGAATTTTCTGGTCTATTAATTAGCTCAGGACCAAACTCTGAAACACGGGTATTTAATATAAAAAACCAAAAATATGTTTATCTTTCAGAAGGTCAAAAGGTTCTGAAGGTTCGCTGTTCATGTCGTTTTTATAAAAGAAAAAAAAGGCTGTAAATCGGCCGACTAATTGTAATTGATTCCATTGTCATTAGCAAAATCTGTCTTGAATACATTATTTCTTCACTTATTTGTTGACAACAAAAAGAGTGAGTTAAACATATTTTGAAAACTAAGCAAATATTTGTGCTTTATACTCACTTGTTGGTGTTTGTTACTATGGTAAAAAAGAAAGAATTGGATTCATCAAAACGATAGCAGTTATTTTAAAATTCTATAGAATTATTGTAAATTAACTAAAAAAGAAATTTTATTTTATTAAAAAGAATTGAATATAAAATCATTTATTTTTTTAATATAAGATTTGATTTTAATTGTTTAAAATACTTTTTATTTTTTAAAAACAAAAAAAAAGAAAGATATTAAAAAAACCAAATGGATTAATTTCTTTAAAATGATTAAAAAAAAAAAATTTAAAATATTATAGAATTAGTTTATTTAATTAACTTTATAATGTTTTTATATTTACATCTATTTTTATATTTACATTTAACAAATACACCTAAAAAAAATTTTTGTCTAAATAATTAATTATAATTATTATATATTTAATGTATTTTATATTATATTATAATATTTTATAAATCTTTTTAATATAGAAACATATTTGTATATTTTATATTTTAAATAATTCTTATTTAATTTAATAACTAATATTAAAAGCAAAATTTTCTATTCAAATTTTTTTATTAATATTTAAATCCATTTTTTTAACATAAAAAAAAAAAATAATAAACTTTAATATATTACAGAAAAAATAATTTAGTTATTAAGATATTTTTATAAATTCTAAACTATCATATATAATTCTTATAAAAAAAAACAATCTTTATATATAAAACCTTATAAAGTTTTAAATCATTATATATAAATTTCATAAAAAAAAAAATTCTTTAATTTATTTTAGATAAGTTGATAAAGATTTAAATTATATTATATTAATCTTAAAATTTTTGAATTATTATATATAAAATTTATAAAAAAAAACTATTTATCATAGATAATCAATAAAATTTAAATTGTATCATAAGTTTAAATTATTATATATAATTCTTATAACAAAAAAATCTTAATATAAAACCTTTATAATAAAATAAAATATTTAATATATAAAAATAAAATTAATTTTTCTAACAGTTTTTCTCTTTTTATTATAAAAATCTTATATATCTTATATAGTTAATAAGATTTTAATTATTATAAAATAATCTTATATATTTAAATAATTAATTAATATAGATATAAATCATAATATTATAATTTCATAAAATTTTAAATTATTATATATATAATATTATAAAAAAAAAATGCTTTTTATATTTAGTTAATTAATAAAATTCTTAAGAGTTTTAATTATTATATATAAATCTTTAAAAAACTTTTAATATATTTAAATAATAAATAAAAATTTTTACTAGATATATTTAATATAAAAAATTGATTTACTTTAAATTTTCTTTTAAAATTTTATTAAAATATTTATGTTTGCTTATTTTTATTTTTTAAAAATTAAAAATTTAAAAAGAATAATTAATATTATTTATTATAATTAAACTAATTAGTCTGGATTATAGTGAAGAATTATATATAACTATAAAAAATGTTCTACTATCAGCCCACTTATCAATTGAATTGATAGTTTAATTAGTTTATCGTATATATAAATTTATAACTGATATTGTTTATTATTTATTTTATTTTTGTTAAATATATCAAAATAAATTTTTTATAAGCTTCTGATTTTATAATAGTTACCATTTTCCTAGTTGATTTGTAACTTGATTTAAACATTATTAATATATTTAAATTTAAATAAGAATTTAAATAATATTATTTAAATTGTAATTACATAATTTAATAAAAATACTAATTAGATATATAATATAATTGTTAAATAATCCAAATTTTAATTTTACATTTTTTTTTATAAATAAAATTTTCTTTTAAATTTTTTATTTATATATTAATTATGATTTTTATAATCAAATAAATTTAGATATATTTAAAAATTTTTTTTATACACTTATATAATTAATATAATTTAAGAATTTAATTTAAAAAATATGCCAAATATGATTTTTATATCAAAATATATTCAGATTTAGCATTAATTCATTTTTATTTTTCCAGCCATTTCTTCCTTTTCTATTGCAAAAAAAGGAATGATAATTTATTTTTAAATTAAAGAATTTAATAGTATATTTAAAGTTAATAAATAGTTTTAAGTTACATTTTATAATTATAAAGCTAAGATTAATGATGCTTATTTTCTTTTTTTTTGTTTGTTTTAAATACAAGAAAGCATTTAAAAATTTTATAATAAAAATTATAATCTGTAAATAATGAAATTTATATATAATATCTTTTAAATAATAAGAATTTTTATCCAAATGTATTTTTCAATTCAAAGTTTTTTATAATATAAAAATAATAAAAATATATTTGTTTAGAAAATACTTATTAAAAATTTTAATTTTAAAATGTTAATAAATTAAAACTTAAAAAATTCTTAGAGTAGCGATTAGTATTAGAAATTCAAAATAAAAAATTGCGGCATTTAAATAAAATTATATAAAATTGTAATTAATAAATAGAAGTTAAAAAAATTTTGTGTGAATTCAAACGTTAATTGCGTTCCATTTTTTATTGGACGATAAAATATAAGCGCTATATCACTGACACACTAATCAATTATATCACGTGATGATTATCCATCTTGATTTTGGTGGTTAATTCTTTATATTATACAAAATTATCAATAAAACATAATTCTACTCAAAATTACGAAAAAACTTATCAGATGATGTCAAAAAAATGGGTTTTATTACTTTTTTGTATCATTTGAATAAACTAAAAATAAATAAATTTTTTGTTGAAAATACTGTACAATTTAAAATACATACAATTCCCAACAATATATCTAAAAGTAATCGATGATTAAAATCGGAATCGAATAATTAATTTCTTTTTAAATATTATTCAAAAACTTTTTTTTTTAGAAAATAAAACCATCAAGACGTTGATTCTGCAATCTCATCAACATTTAGTATCTGTGGCGGTGGACCGAGAAGATCTTTAACCTATTTTTATTTTGATTGTTAAATAATTTTTGTTAATGGATGAATAAATAATTTAAGATCATGATCAAAGATTTTAAATTTTTTCGTAATTTTAATTTGAATATAATATCAAGGATCAAGAATAACTTAAAATTTCCCAGTAATTTACGAATCCGTTCTTCCCATCGAAACAATAATATACATAAAATAAAATCAATCGATCTATTATACCTTCTGATGATCCTCTAGAACTTCTAATTCTTTTTCTCCTGATTTAACTTGTGTAGCTAATTCGGGTTCGCTATCAACAATTTCTTTTAAAACACTTTTAAATTTTTGATATAATGAATCTGTTTGAGCAATATTATCAGGAGCCTGGAAATAGACTCCTTCTTCTAATTTTACGGAATTAAACCCTATATACAAAAACAAATAATAAAAATGGTTAACAATAAAACGATTTAAGTTAATTACTTTGTGTTTAAAGAACTCTTTGTATGAAGATAACTTACAACCAAGACTTTCTTCAAATGTGGTACGGAAATTAGAACGAGCTTCCATAAGCTCTGCCGTTCTAATAGCAGATGGTGTTAAGGCTGCTGGACGATGGCCACCCATTTTCTTTTTCTTGGAATGTAAGTTATTATAATAAGAGTTATTATAGATTTACCACGACCAAAGTTTAGAAATTTTTAAAAGAGTGAAATTTATCATTAGGTAAATTTAAAAACCTTCAAGTCCAAATTTGTTCAAGAACTACAGATCATGTGAATCTGTCTCTCCTTGATCTGCATTTTCCTTTCTGTATCTTATAAATAAGTTTGTATTTTCGATGTATAACATTCAAAATTCCTTATTAATTTTTTGAATAGAAAAAATATCATTCAAGAACCAATATAGCAAAAATAAAAATATCAAACTGTAAAATATTATATCTTTATATTTAATAACAAATTTAATTGTAAAATCTAATAAGTCAATTAACTTTTAAGATATTTTTACCATCCATGTTCAACAGGTTCCTATAATTATGTATCTTATTCTCTGATATATAAAATGAAAAGTTAAATGAATTATAAAAATCAAAATGAAATATCTTTTTTTCTGATATTAATCTATTTTGCATTAGTTTAGAAAAAAATATCATTAATTTACTATAAACAAATTTTTGGGATTAAATTTACATTTTACAATATTAATTTATGTAAATTTTAAACATTTTAATAGTTTATTCAAGCTCATTTATTTATTATTATGAATAAAATAGGTATATTTAATGATATATAATATAAATTTGATGGGTATTTTAAATATCTAATGATAAAAAAAAAAGTAATTATAAAATGAAAACTTTGATTTTACCAATTATATAATCAGAATATTCTACTTATGCATGCTATAAAGATAATTTAAGTATTTAGTCTAATATACTCAATGTTATCATAAAATATCTTTTTAAACTTTAATCTTTTAATTAGAATGTATAAAACATTTCTAATACTAAAATAAAATAAGTATAATAATAAAATAATACATAATTGATGATTTGATATACTGTAAAATAAAATTATCATATTTATATTAATATATAAATTTATAAATTTATACTAAAAGTATATATAAATTTATTACTAAAATAAAACTTATATTAGTTTTTATAAAAAGTTACTTTTTTATATATATAATTTATTTATTTTTATTAAAAACTAATATATATATATAATATATATATATAAATTTTATATATTAAATTAATTATAATCTAAATAGTTAAATTATAATCTAATTAATTATATTATAATCTAATTAATTTTTCATTATAATTTAATATTTAAAAAATTATATACTAAAATATAAAATAATATATTAAGATTATTTAGTTATATTATAATTTAATTAATTATATTATAATTTAAATAGCTAAATATAATTCTAATACATTATAATATTTTAACATTTAGTAATTATAAAATTTAATAGTAGTATTTTTAAATTTTTTAAATTAGTAATTATTAATATTATATTAAATTTTTAATTTTTAAATTTGTAAAAATAATTTATTATTTAATAATCATAAGAAATATAAAATTTTTATATTAAATTTATTTTATTAAAACATATAAAATAGTTACATTATTATATTTTTAAAATTAATAGATAGTATATATAAATTTAAAATTCTAATATTTTTTATAATTATTTATTATATATTAATTATTATTTAATTACATTTTTTAATTTTTTTTTATAAAAATTTATTATAAAAGTATTAATTTTTAATAAATTATTTAATATTTAAAATAATTAAAAGGAATATTTCTCTTCTTTTTCTTTTTCTATTTTAATATTTATTATAAAAATATTATTTTTGAATAAATATTTTTAAAATATTAAATTAAATTTTTTAACTTTTATTAATAAATATCTCTAAATTTAAAAATAAACTATTAATAATTTTATACTTTTAATATTAAATTTAATTAATAAATTAAAACTTATATAAAAGATTTATTTATAAATTTTAAAAAATTTTAGAATATCAAATCTTTTATTGTAAAGAATTTATATAATATATAATATAATTTTACTAATAATATTTCTATATAGTAAAATAATCAAATTTATAATAATATAAATATAAAATTTATTATTTTATTATTAAAAATATAATAAATTAGTATTTTTTTTTGCTCTATATATTATTAATTTTATTAATTTAAATAAATAATTAATTAATTAAAAATTTAAAAAATTAATATATAAAAAAATATCAATTATAAATAAAAGATAAAACCTTTTAATAATAGTTAAAATTAGATAAAAGTATATTAAATTATAATAAGAAATATAATAAAATCCTTTTAAAACTATATTATAAAATATAAAAAAAGGTATGATAAAATTATTTTAAAAAAATTTTAACAAGTATTTATAATATTAATAAAAAGAAAGAAATCTAATTTTTATTTAATTTCAGTTCTTAAACTAATTTTATAATAATTATAATTGTAAAAATAATAATGTTATATTACAATAAATTATCAATTATATATTTAATAAAAGTAAAATATGCATTTAATAATATATATATTTTTTTGCAATTATGTATATATTTTATATATAAAATTTACAATTATGCAAAATTATAATATAATATTAGATTATTTATATTAAAATATATTTAATTTTTTTAATAAATTAAACTATAACTTTAATAATCACTATTAAAAAAAAAAATTATATATAGAAAAATTCATTTTATAAAATAGCTTAAAATTAAAAACTATATATAATTCAAGATAATTTTAAAAATAATATAATAATTTAAATAATATATTATTTAAATTTTTTTTTCTAAAAACATTTAAAATTATAATAAATATATTATTTAATAATTAATTTATTATTTGAATTTTATACTTTAATTATTATATTATAATGACAAATATTTTTTTTTAAATTAAAATCAAATAAATTAAACATTAACAT